TGATGGTGTTTGTTCTAATACCTCACAGAGGGATGCAGGAGGTGGGCACCTTCTGAGTTTGACATCCAGATCCTCCTAATCATGGGATTTTGGTCAAGTGCCATCCATACCTGCAGCCTCAGTTGACTCACTTGCAAAGTAGGCAGAAAAGAGTGAAGCAGCATTTATGAAAACATTTGTATTATTATGATAATTCCTATTATTATTTAACAGTCAAGTCTTATAATGAATAAGAAAGCACTACATTCATTGGAATGTTAGTTAAATTTATGGCCAATGTTTTAGTTTCTCCATACATGCAGAATGTGCTGAACATCAATGCGACAGTGCTTGGCACAAGCCCTGCAAGCTGCCAACAATACTTGGATGAAACTGTCCCTTCATGAAGAACTCAGGAGCTCTGCATCCTGAGGTTCTTCCCTTAGACGTGGGGACCAGGGTGGGGGTACCGCCCTCAGGCCTCCACCCCCAGCCACACTGCACACCTTGAGGTTTTGTAGTGGCGCTTTCCTCTCAGGGGCGGTATGAGCACTCCTTCTATCACCACAGCAGAGAGTACAAGCCTTCTTATGTGGTTGGCCACTGCATTTGGACAAGGAAGCAGGACCTTCTAGGAGCTTCTCCCCTCACCAGGCAGAACTCTCTAGTGACTAGTCCCCACGGTTACTGGAAAATTCAGCCATTTCCAACACAAACCATGAATTAGTTTCACCTCTGTGTGTAGGGCTTACCTGCCACCAAAGGCTTTCCCAGTCTTTTGCCCTTGCATCTTCGGATCTTGCACTTGAACATGAGTACGACAAGAAGACAAATCACAACGACAGGAAGTGGCTCTTGTGTGCATCTCCATGGGTTATATATTCACCATTTCCATACATCATCAGAGCAAATGGGCACTATTCTTCCCATTTTCTAGACGAGGAAACTGAGGCTCAGGTAGGTGGAGGGACTCTACTTGCTCAGAAAAAGTTGGCAGGGGTTAAAGCCAGAACTTGAGCTCAATTCTTCTGTCTTCTGTTCTGACACTCTCCCAACTCCATTGCTACTTCAGAGTAATGTTCCCAACACTTGTTAAAGCATTTAATAATTCGTAATTATGTAGTTACTTTGAAATGTATTTTGTGCATTCAGTGAAATGCGTGCTTCTCTTAACCCAGTGGTTCTCAACCTTCTGGCCCTTTAAATACAGTTCCTCATGTTGTGACCCCAACCATAAAATTATTTTCTTTTTTTTTTTTATATATATTTTTTTATTGATTAAGATATTACATATGTGTCCTTGTCCCCACGTTGCCCTCTACCCCCCACCCCCCCCACCCCCGCTCATGCCCTCACCCCCCCGTTGTCCATGTCCATTGATTAGGCCTATATGCTTGCATATAAGTCCTTTGGTTGATCTTTCCCCCTTACCCCCACCCTCCCCTACCTTCCCTCCAAGTCCCGACAGTCCAATCAATGCCTCTCCGTCTCTGGATCAGTCCTTGTTCATCAGCTTATGTTGTTCATTATATTCCACAAATGAGTGAGATCCTGTGGTATTTATCCTCTCTCAAGTTCCATCCCTGCTGTGGCAAATGGTAAGAGTTCCTTTTTCTTCTTCCTCTTCTTAAAGAATACCTTTCAGCATTTCATATAATGCTGGTTTGGTGGTGATGAACTCCTTTAGCTTTTTCTTATCCGTGAAGCTCTTTATCTGACCTTCTATTCTGAATGATAGCTTTGCTGGATAAAGTAATCTTGGTTGCAGGTTCTTGCTATTCATCACTTTGAATATTTCTTGCCAGTCTCTTCTGCCCTGCATGGTTTCTGTTGAGAAATCAGCTGACAGTCGTATGGGTACTCCCTTGTAGGTAACTGACTGTCTTTCTCTTGCTGCTTTTAAGATTCTCTCTTTATCTTTTGCTCTTGGCATTTTAATTATGATGTGTCTTGGTGTGGTCCTCCTTGGATTCCTTTTGTTTGGGGTTCTCTGCGCTTCCTGGACTTGTAAGTCCATTTCTTTCACCAGGTGGGGGAAGTTTTCTGTCATTATTTCTTCAAAAAGGTTTTCAATATCTTGCCCTCTCTCTCCTTCTGGTACCCCTATAATTCTGATGTTGGTACGCTTGAAGTTGTCCCAGAGGTTCCTTACACTATCTTCATATTTTTGGAATCTCTTTTCTTTTTTCTTTTTCAGTTGGGTATTTTTTGTTTCTTTGTATTTCAAATCTTTGACTTGATTCTTGGGATCCTCTTTTCTGCTGCTGGATCTCTGTAAATTATTCTTTATTTCAGTCAGTGTATGCTTAATTTCTAGTTGGTCCTTTTTCATGTCCTCCATGGTCTCCCTATACTTATTGAGGGATTCATTAAATTTATCGGCGGTTTCCATAAAATTCTTGAAAAACCTTATAACCGTGGCCTTAAACTCTATATCCAATCGTTTGCTTTCCTCCATTTCTGCCATTTGTAACCTGTTTCTTTGTCTCCGCATTTTGGCAGCTTCCCTGTGTTGATAGAGTGGCCCTGTGGGCCAGGTGTCCTGTAGGGCCCAGTAGCTCAGCCTCCCCAGTTACCTGGGGTGGACACTCTTGGTGCACTCTTGGTGCCTTGGTTGTTGTAGAATCACTGGGAGGAATTGACCTCCAGGCCAATTGGCTGTGAGAATCAGCTGTGTCTAAAGTGGGAGAACTTCTGTGCTGAAGACACCCTTCTCGGGCAAGACTTGCTTCAGTGGGGCTTTGGTGCTCACTGAGTCTGCTCCCTGAGTGCGTCCCTTATGGATCTGAGGAGTTGCAGTCTGGATGGACCCCCTCTGACCACTGGGTACAGTGGCTCCTGGTTCTAAGGAGGTGCTAATTCAGCCTCTGCCTGAGGCCACACAGCAGGAGCCACGAAGAGGCTCAGCTGTGAAGCAATGCAAGCCGCTGCGGGGCCTTGGGCCTTCTCTTGGAAGTTCCAGGTCTGCCTGGTTCGGCTGCAGTTAGGTACATTCACATGCAAAAGCCTCTGCCGCAGCCTGGGTGGGGCGGGGTCTCAGGGAGTCAGAGGGCGGAGAAAGCAGCCATGGCCGATTCTCCGCCCGGAGTCGCGCATCTCAGTGTTCCGGTAACGGCTGCAAGCACCTCTGCGGGAAAGCCGCCTTCAAGTTCGCTCGCTGCCGGACAGACCAGCTTCTCCCCGTATGAGACCTGGGTCCCCGGAGACTTCCCGGAACCGGAGTTCAGAGCAGTCGGGAGTTTGTGATTCAAAAAGACAGCCGCGTCCTCAGGCACCACCCCCTTTCCTCGCGCGCGCGCCGCCGTACCTCTGCACTTCACCTCCGCAGCGCCTCTGGCTCTCAGCGTGCTTTTCTTTCCTTCTAGTTGTGGAATTTACACTCAGCCAGCCTTCCTGTTGTTCTGGATGATGTTTGCTCAGTCCTTTGCGGTAATTTTCAATTGTTGTGTGAGGCGATAATTTCCCGGTGTTTACCTATGCCGCCATCTTAGTTCGCTATCCATAAAATTATTTTCATTGCTACTTCATAACTGTAATGTTGCTACTGTTATGAATCATAATGTAAATATCTGATATGCAGGATGGTCTTAGGTGACCCCTGTGAAAGGGTCGTTCGACTGCCAAAGGGGTCGCTACCCACAGGTTGAGAACTACTGCCATGTAACAACTCCTAGAATAGGCATAATTATTACCTATACTCTGTCGGTGAGGAAACTAAGGCTGCTAGACCCAAGGTCACAGCATTCCTGTATGGAGAACACATGCTCCAAATCAGTTAGAGTCCTAAGCTTATGGGTTTTTTATTAACAATTTTAATGTTGACATTGTTGCAGGTGTCCCCTTTCTCCCCACCTTTACCCACCTCATCCACAGGCACCTCCCCCTCCCTTGGCCTTCACCAAACGATTGTCCGTGTCCATGGGGTATGCACGTATGATCTTTAGCTAATTGCTTCATCATCTTTATCCAGTCATCCCCACCCCTCTCCTCTCCTGCAGCAGCCAGTCTGATCCACGTGTCCATGCTTCCGGTTCTATTTTGTATATCAGATTATTGTGTTCATTAGATTCCACATCTTAGTGAGATTATATGGTATTTATCTTTCTTTGACTGACTTATTTAGCTTAGCATAATACTCTCCAGGTCCATCCATACTGTTGCAAAGGGTAAGAGTTCCTTCTTTTTTTTACAGCCATGTAGTATTCCATTGTGTAAAAATACCATAGCTTTTTTATTCACTCATCTGCTGATGGGCACTTGGGCCATTTCCAGATCTTGGCTATTGTAAATAATGCTGCTGATATTGCTCGGCCTCTCAGCCAAGCACCTGCTCCAGGGGGGGCTCCCCCTTTCCGTGACTCCCCTTCTCTTTCCAGTCTCTATGTTGTTTCTTTGGTGCTCCTTAGATAGATGTCCAACCAGCTGCACTTCTCTTGACTTTTCAAATTGATTGCAAAGTACTTGAACTGTAATTCCAGTCCTTGGCTGGGAGCAAGGGTTATGTAACTTGCATAGCTACAAGTTACACTGCAGCCCACTTGAATCCTCCAAGCTTATGTTTTGAGCTGTGTTGCTGACCGCCTCCCATCAGGTTGGCTGGGAAGGAAGGAAGAGAAGGAGGACATGGCTGAAGGGGCTGGGAGAGCAGGGGGATAAGGTGTGGCTGGTTCTATGCATTCTGAGGACCATGTGTGCAGACCTGGGGGTGCTCTGGCACTGCCAGTCAGCCAAGCTCAATGTATGAGGATGCAGGGGGGATAGGTGCGATCCATCTGTGCCCATTGCAGTGAGTCCAGTGCAGAGCCAGGGAATGGGTTATGCACATGCTGGGCACTGACCAGGGGCCTTAGTGCCTCTGTGCATCCTCAAGCTGGAGGGAGGGGGTGGGGCATGCTTGGGTGGGTGAGCCAGACCCAGGGGCGTGGCTCCTGGGGTTTCACTCTCCATTCTAGCCTTCCTTGGAGAGAGCCAGCAACTGGATGCTTTGACTCCAGACTAACAGTGCTAATGCTTTTCTGTAGCTGACGACAGGAGTGGAGTATCTGGCCACCGTAAAGATCAGCCGGACGAAGTGCAAAAAGAACAGCACAAAAAGTCATTCATGCCCCCGACAAAGCGAGAAGAAGATGAAGAAGGTATGTGGTGGCAGTCATCTGAAAAGAGACTCCTAACCAAAGGGAGAAAAGTCAAAACTTTAAAAGTTAACACAATTGGACATTGACAGATTTTACCACTGTGTGGATTGGGGCATAGCAAGGGCACAGCCCCAGGGCTGCTGAAACCACCAGAGGTGCTGGGGGTAGGAGGGAGGCTCTCTGATTGGACAGTCCCCCCCAACCTTGGCCATGGCACAGACCTGGACCCTGGCCTCCAGGTCTCCAGGACCATTCCCAGCCTTCAGTGGAAGCAGCATTTTTTTTTTTCCCATGGGGACCTTGTTCTGGTCATGGCTTGCACTCTCCAGGCCGCTGAGGATTGTTTAATTGCCTCCTTGTCTTCATGAATTTGCTCACTCTTTTCCTGGTTCCTCTGGGTGGCACCACTTACTGGCAAATATGACAGTCTCCCTGTGCCTGAGTGCATGTGTCTGGGGGACTGGGATCTGAGGAGGGCTTTTCAGTTGTACCTGCTCCAGCTCCCAAATAGCTGGGCAGAGGGAGCCCCAGGTGACATTCCTGTTCCAGGCCTTGAACCCCCTCAGTCCCTTCAGCTCCCTCCAGATGACTGAGCAGATTCTCCCCACCCACATGGCCAGTGTGCAGCCTCAGCGATGGTTCTGAACTCCCACCGAGGGTCTCGGGGCAGGAGATTTCCCTGAAAGCTGATTGTGCCTTTCTCCTTCCACAGAGCTTCATCTGCGATTTTTTGATATACACTGTGCCCTGGATCAACTATTATGAGCTTTGGAACAACTCCTGTCTGGAGGCCCACTTGTAAATGGGTTTGTGCAAAGATCCTCGATGAAAACTTAGATGGCTGTGCTGTGCATTTTCTATTACAGACCCCTGGAAGGACCTCATCCCCCTCAGCAGGGTCTCACTACACACACACTCACACATGTACACACATATGCACTAGCTCTCACACACTCACACAGCGCTCGCGCGCGCGCACACACACACACACACACACAAACCCAAACACAATTCACACACACTCACTCACATTCACACTCACTCTTGTACATAGACAAGAGTGGTCTTTAGAGGGCTGGTTCAATTTGAGCAGAAGGTTGTTATGTATTTGGAGGAATCTCATAACTTTTTCTACATCAGCCCGTATCTCTGGGGCACATCTTGACCTCTGACCCAAGCTTGAGGGAGCTCTGTTTCTTCTCAATGCACATATAATTCTGTGACTGACACATGTCTTTTTGAGTGTGTCCAAGACACCCTAGACCAGCGGTCCAGCGGTTGAACAACCCTTTCACAGGAGTCGCCTAAGACCATCCTGCATATCAGATATTTACATTACGATTCATAACAGTAGCAACATTACAGTTATGAAGTAGCAACGAAAATAATTTTATGGTTGGGTCACAACATGAGGAACTGTATTTAAAGGGCCAGAAGGTTGAGAACCACTGCCCTAGACCAACCCCCCAGTATCAGATTCACTAGAAGGATTCCCAGGACTCAGCATAGAGTCATACTCACGGCTGTGATCCATTGTAGTGAAAGGACACAGAGCTAAATTTGCAAAGGGAGAAGTAGAGTGGAGAGAGGAGCCTGGTGACTTAGTTTAAAATCCTGAATCACGTTGTTGGGTGCTGCTTATTCTCCACTGCTAATCGCCATCCATGGAAGAGGAGCCCCTACATAGCCTCCCTGCTCTTGCTGTCCTCATCACTTCTCTCCAGGAGAACTTAATCCAATTGGCCTATTTGGGAAGAAAAAACTGGGCACTGTAGTCCTGGTCCTACTCTTTCCCACGGGGCACACATTTTCCTTGTCAACTCCAGGAGAGGAGCCTCTTTGTGAAGAGACCTGCTCTGGTCCAATGTTGCTGATGCTGGGCATCTAAGTTGAATTCTAGAATTTGGTATCAGGAAGTGCACTTGCCTATCAAAATGGCACAGCTCCCAACTTAGTCCTGATCAGCAACAAAGGCCTTTTAGCTTTTGTAGTTATATTATTTCTCTGTGTTTTGCATGCTAGACAAGAAAGGGGATGTTCTTTATTGGACTCCTCAGAGATGCCATCATAGTCCATACTTGCCAATACCTCTTGTCTTAGCGTTTCTTTCCTCTTCTCTCTTCTTTCCCCTTTCTCTGTTTTGTTTTAATCTAAAGAAACCTCCTGGATGTGAGGATAGTGTTGAAGTTCTGCTACCATGCAGGTTATGCAGGCTATAAGGCCTGAAATTATTCATGTCATTTCATTTGGACCCCAAAACTGCCCTGCCCAGAAGACCTTCAGACGATATTATTATGAACTGAAGAATTTGGGGAAAAATGGAATTTTACACATTAAGAACATTAAGAGAATAGATGGACAAACATTTATTTTCTGTACAGGGAGTTACTGCTTATTGCAGGATACTTTCGCATACAGTGACCACAGGTGTGTGTGTGCTCCAGGTCACCTAGCCATTGGTGCAATTTTTGCGCAGAATTTTGTACTTTTCAAACCAGGGGACAACAAACACTGAGTAAAAGCACTCAATTTGCTAAAAAACAAAGAAACAAAAAACAATATTTTAAAAAGATAACATGCAAGGTGGAAATTTTAAAGGGGAAAGACGAGGATAGAATACTTGTGGATAGTTTATTCTTTATTGTGATTTTAATCACTTGATAGTATTAGAGTTGAGGTCATTCCAGAAAATGCTCTTCTGTTTGTAGTTAAACTTAGAGACTAGAAATAAAGTGCCCCCCCCCACCCCCGCATATATTCACTGATTGATTTCCCTTTTCATTTTTACTTGTGTTGTTTACTTCACACTTTTTCTTCCTTGACCTGTACTGGCTTCATCAATCCATTCATCCATCCTCTCATCCATCTCCATCCATCCTTATTTCCATCAATATAGCCTTCCTTTTTTTCACCCAGTCCATCCATCTTTTCTTTCTTCCTCCCATCCTTCATTTATCCATTTATATACTCATTCATCACACCCTCTCTCTCTCACTCTGCCCCTATTCTCTCTCAAGATATTCTTTTTAACTTCCTTCTTCCTCCATAATGAAAAATCAATCAATAAATTTTGCACATTATCATTTTATAGTGTCAGCTTGTTTTCCTGCTCTTCATTGGAAAGTCCAGGCTGGGGGATGTGGTGCTGGTGGGAGGGTTAAGTATGCATTTACATTTTTCCTAAAATAGAAATCAGAATACTAATTCCACCAATTAAATTAGTCATATCAATAAGATCCTCTAATTTTACTTTACTGCTGTCTTCAATTACTTTGTTATAGATTTCATGATCTTCTTCAGGGAAGAACTAAAAAAGTCCATTTTGCTAGATTTTGAAGAATTATTTGTGACGAAAGTGCAGAGGGAGCTCCTGATCACAGGTTTCTACATTGAGAACACCCCAGGCCATTACAACCAGGGTCACCATATAATTGATGAATCAGGACATGTTGTAAGCAAATGGGGATGCCATTAGTGATGACACAAAGAAGCTAGGTGCAAGTCAGGACTATCCAGGCAGGGTGGGACATAGGATCATCCTCATTCTAACTCATTTGGGTAAAAGAAGTGATTTGCAGGGCCTGTGAGCTTTGAGACCTTCAAGGCCCTATACAAGTGGGCCCATCCAGACTACACACTGCAGCTATGCATGTCTGGCCAGCCTCCCTCCGATGTGACAACACTGGGTGGGAATGAGGCATGGAGGGGTGGGGGGGAGAGGGAGGAAGGAGAGGACTAAGTCACTGTTGTGGGAGTGGCTCCTCAGCAGATCACACGCATACAGGTTTGACCTCCCTTACCCCAACCCACTCCTACCACCCATTAAACTATCTCTGAACTCAATTTCTTATTTCCTCTCCCATTTTGCCTCCCACACTGCTGGATGAAAGGGACAGAGGCCAGTAGCCCAGTGGTTTTTGTGTTAACTTCAGGCTGATATTCAGAAATTCATCAGGGCACACCGTGAGGTCCCACTGGCTGCTGAAATAGCTAACTACTTCCTTCAGCCGCAGAGTGTTTCCCGGAGCTCAGACACTTCGCTTCCCCCTCTCAACCCTTTCGACCTCCCCATTATTTTTCCAGCAACGAAGGAGCAGCACCTGCCAGGCACCTTCGCTGCTCTGTTTTGAGAAAGCAGGTGTTGGTTACCCTCCTTCCTTTTTAAGTGAGCTCAAATATAGCCCCAATAATTCCACCCCACACCATCCCAAAACCAGAGGCAAACCCCACTACAAATGAGTTCGCCCTGAGTGAAGGCGTATTCGCCCAGTACCTTGTAAAGCTCCCCTTCCTGAAAGCTGCAGTTGTTGGCCTCCAGCCTTGGGCAGGTGGTCCGCCGCATCTCGAAGTTCACGTGGTACTCCATGTGGTCGGTAACCTGTGGGAAGCAGGCGACAAGGAGACACAAGGATTTCTCCTTCTCCATAGCTTCTGGGGGCGGGACCTCTTTCCCGTGGTGCCAAAGGGCAAGGACCCCATCCTAGGTAGAGAGATGGGCCCCTCTCTCCCCTAACCATCTGACTCCCATGCCTCCTTTTGTCATTTGAGGACAACTCACTAGAAACCATTCTGTGGGCAAAGCCATCCCTTGGAAAACCCAAAGGATGCCAATGATTCCGGTACAGGGTCTGCAAACTATGTCTACAAAAGACCAGAGAGTAAACATTTAGCCTTTGGGGGCATGTGTCCTCAACCCTGCAATTACAGCGCAAAAGCAGCCCCACAGGACATGGCACACCTGGAACCAATGAAACGAACCACAGAGGCAACAACAGGCAGATTTGGCCCTCGGGCCACAATGTACCGACTCCTGGTATTGGGCACCACTTAAGCAACTTAACTTTATCAGTGAACTTAGGTTTCTCTTCAGATGCCCACTTCTCATTAAATGAGGCTGAATTTCACGTGAATAGGCTTGCCCCAGAGTGTCAGCAGTCCCCTGGCATAGGGGCACGGGGAAGAGGGGGAGAGGAGCCCACTGACCAGCTTCTTGACCTTCAGGACACGCACAATCCGGAAGTTGTACTTGTCATCACTTTCCTGGTTGAACTCACTGGTCACATACTCCAAGGTGGTTACCACGAAGGCTTCTGATGCAGGCACTTCTTGGACACTAATAAAGGTTTTCTTCCTTTCTTGGTAGGCAATGGCCACCAGGGCCACCAGAATGGCCAGTAGAAGCTGTGGGGCCTGCCTGGGTCTAGCCATTGCCCCTCAGCTCAGGGGGTCTAGGAAGAGCTCCCTCCACGTCCTGGTTCCCAGGGACCCTGACTGGCCTGGTGGATTTAAGCCCATGCATGGTGGACGCCCACAGCTCTCCTCCCCCTCTCTTCATCCGCAGCTGAACCTGATGAGCAGGGGAGATTGTGCAATGGTTGGCAAGCTCACCCTCACTTCCTCTTACCCTTTTGCATCCATTTGTGTCTTTTACTCATACACCCATGTAAACACCCATCTCCTCTTTTGGGGGTTATTCTCTCGGCAACACCCCCTCTCCTCTGCTGCCCCAGCATTATCTGGGTGGAAGCCTGGCCAGGGGCCTCTGTTCACTGAGCTCGCCTCGGCTAGGGATGTGGGAGGTCTGGAGCGACAGGAAGCACTTGAGACACAGGGGATGCGGATGTCAGGGCAGTGGGGCATGAACAGGTGAGCGGGTGAACACCACCACATCCTCCCTGTCCTCTTGACCTTCCCTCTGATTGTTCTTGTCATCCCTCCCCACTCTATCTGGCCAACCAGGACACAAGTGGTCCCTCAAGCCCAATCCTTGGCCTCTTCTTCTGTGTTAATAATTCTTAACTT